CTGTAATAACCTCTATTGGAAAAGAATCTGAAAAAGAATGGATGTATGTGTATGTATAACTGATTCATTTTGCTGTACACCTGAAACTAACACAGCATTGTAAATCAACTATATGCCAATATAAAATAAAAAATATTTTAAAAAAAGAAAGAAAAGCCTCTACAAAGACTGAACACTGTCTTACTAGGACAAGCTCTGGGCTCCGATTATGGAAGGTAGAATAAGAAGGTCGTTGAAAAAATGACATGACTGTGACTAGACCCTGTTCTTATCTCTGCCCACCTAGCCATTCCAGACACCTGAGCACAATAGCCAAACAAGAGGTCATGAAATAGGGAGTGTACCATCATGGTTACGAGAGAGGGTCTGGAGCCAGACAGACTGTTTGCGTTTGAATCCCAGGTCTGCAACTTTCTACCCAGGTGATCTTGGGCAAGACATTTATTATCTCTGAGTATCAGTTTCCCCATCTTTAAAAAGAGGATAATAGTTACCGAGCTCACAAGGTTGTTGTGAGGATTATGTGAGGAAAAAAAGCAACTTGAAACCTTCTTGACGTATAGTAAATGCTTAATAAGTGTTAGGTATTACTCGTATTATTTCTGCACAGAGCAAATCTGATGATCTAGAGGGTAAAAAAAATTAAAGGAAAACAAGAAACCCCCCAAATGACAAAAACCCCAAACCTCAATCTATTCCCCAGATAGTTCTAAGGTTGAGTTCAAAAATGGGATAAAGAAGGGAAATCTTCCTTCTTTATCAAAGAGCTGAACTTGTCTGTCCCTAAAGGCCTAAATCTGCCTAAGTGGATACCCTATACGTTTAAATGCAAATTCTACTTCCTTCTGCAAATGTTTGCTTTTCACCCCATGACCTACACATGAGGAGAAATCAAAGGTATTCTCAGACCGTTTACTTTATAGGGGCTCAGCCCCTTCTACCTTAAGTTGAGCTACTGTGCTGTAGATAATGTGTTGGCATCTGATGGAGGGGAGAACCCTGAACATTCATATAGCCTTTGAGTTGCCTTTGATAATAAGTTAGCAGAGGAAAAGTTAAGACTGCTTTGCTCATGTCTGGAAACTTGAAAATGAGTAAATGGCTGGTAATTACCCCTAAAAGTAGCTGCTTCCCCCTCTCAACCAAACACATATCTTTTACTACCTATGAAGACCATCAAGGTCATGTCAACAGAGGTAAAATTAACTGGGAAGAATTGACCTGTGGATCATTTACCAACCAGGGAATCACTGTTAGCAGTGATGATCCAGCTGTCACAAATTATGGTCACGGTTTTCTCCAGGAAAATTTTGTAATTATAGAAATATAGGAGTGTAATTCTAAAGTATACAGATTCTCAAGAAATGCAACCCAGATATTTCAATTTACACTGGAATCTTGACACCAAGGATACAGCAATTAGTGGAACTAATTAGATTCCTAGAGGAAAAGGAGAGCTGAAATTTTTATTGAGAATAGGCTGCCCTCTGCTGGACACTAGGGCACTGCAGACAAGGCTGCCTCGAGTTTTCAGAAACTGTGATACTTGGGAGTAAAACAAAAACAAAACCCAAAAAGCATGGCAACAAATTTAAACTCTGAGTTCTATTTTTTAGAATATCACAGACTCTGGGAACACAATTATAGAAAAAAGCCCAAGGAAAGAGGAAGGGGCTGAGTTTTTTTTAAAAATTCACAAGATTCTTTTATAAATGTAGCACTGCAAAGCCAGCCTCCTTTTCTACATAACTCCACAAATATTTCACAGGCAAGAAAAAATGGGAACATATTATAGGAAATACCAAGGAGGCTTAGAGACATATTGTTAATAGGGAGACAAGGAGCAAGACCAATTCCTGAATGATACATGGTGTTTTCTTGCTGGTTGGGTGAACACATATCAGGTCATTTCTCTCAAAATGAGATTAACCTTTGCTCTCATGTCTGCAGGAGTGAGGAGGGGGAAGTAGCAGCAGCTCCAGAGAAGCTCCGAAGACCAGTGGCACAATAACAAAGGGGAAGTCTTCACTGTACTTGTCTCAAACAAACAGATAAGTATATAAGATCGACAAAGCAGCCTCCCTCAGTGTGCCCAGAGCAGGAGGGCTTAATACCCACACACATTTTTTTTTCATTCTCCTATTCAAGACAGCCACAGGTCCTTATCTGAGGGGGCCAATAGGGTTTGAAAAAGGCCAGGCAGTCTTCCTGAAGGTTGGATCTGCCAGCTGAAACTCTCTCCTCCCATATAATAAATAAATTAAATGGCCCTTGAATGGGTCTGAAATTGCCAAAATTAGTCATTCCTTTTTTCCAGATTGTTATCATTCAAATGTACTGAGATGAGAGGATCAATGAGAAGGGAACTGGAGTAAATTATTAACATCCATTAGTGTACTTCAGTACCACATTAGTTAATTGTTTCCCAGAAAGCGGGGCCCAGAAAGAATGAGAGATGGGACAGGTAAGGTTTGATAGGGCAGAAAAAGCAGAGAAAAGGGTCTGGGGAGGGGAAGAGGGCTGGGTTAACAGGGGTTGTAATTGGAAAAAGACACCAAACATTTTGCTGACTTAATTATCTTTGATCTTTCGTGTGATTGTTTGCTTTCCAGTCTCTAGTATCAATAGCAGTGGGTAGTTAGAAAAATCACCTAAGTAGTTTAAAAAAAAAAAAAAAGTAACGATGACTAGGCCCATCTTGGGCCACTAACTCAGAATTCCCTGGGAGGAAGGGGGTGGGTCCAAGCAGACAGTGGCAATTTTCAAAGGGTCCCCAGGTGATTGTTTTGTGGAGCTCCAGCTGAGAATCACTGCTCTGTGGGTCACATCTTCTCCAGCATTGAGTATAATGCTGCTGAAGCGCCCTAGCAAACAGACCAGAAACCATACCCTTCTCATTTGGCAAGTTGGAATTCGAGGGTTAAAATGGCAAATTACAGTCCAATGGCACCAGTTGCCAAATACCTGCAGGCAAATAAAAGTCAAAGATAATCCTCCTAAGGCAGTAAATGGCTGGAATCCATGGTTGTGGTCTGCAAAAAACCCTTGTCAGAAGAAGTTACTTTTATCTCACACAATCTTTTGGCTGACAGGACCATCAAGAATCACCCGATTTACACTCTTATCTCTAGGCATGTCAAGGCAGAACATGCAGCCCAGAAACGAGAAGCAAAAACAAACCAAAAACCCCTACTACCTTCAAGTATTTTATAAAGACACCTTAAGATTTCCTTAAATATTTTAAAGAGATGCTCATACTTAGGTATGCTATTTAACCCAATTGTTAATCACGAGCTGTTTATTCTAAGGAGCTACAATAGGAGTTCCCAGTCTGCCTGTCGTCTCACTACAGTTCTGTATTCTCACATCCCTTATCTGAATGTCTCTCATTTCATTTACCAAATCTGTTGGTTGTAATTGGTTTCAATGCCAGGTCTGTGGTGAACTCCAGGGCTGAAGAGAGCCAAAACAGCTTTCAGCTGCAAAAAAATCACTTACTACTTGATATTATTGAATTTGAACGTATCACTACGAAGTCATCTTGCAGTTATAGACTTCCTTTTCCTAGCAGGGCATGTATCTGGTAGGAACTGAGCATCTCCTCACACCTGGAGGAGAGGCTTTCTGCTCCAAATTCATTCAGAAGGTGTTGTGGGCTGTCTGACTCTCCAAAACCAAGTAATAATAAAAATGTTCAATGAAGGTACACAATCTCTCTTTTTCGAAGGTATTCTGAGGAATCCTCCTTTGTGTGAAAGCATGTGTCCTAAAATATACATAGCATTTAGCCTCATTCACATCTTTCAAATTGCCCTTTGAGTTACTATAGGGCTCATGACTTGCTCTATTTTCTGTGGCCTAAAATCGACCAAACTGAAAGCAACAGCTGTATTTTTGTTTTGTTCAAGGTTTCTTGAAGTGTGACATGGTCTTTGCCCCCAGACGTGCCAACAATGTTCTTGAGAGACAGGCTTGCAAGGGTTGCATGTTAAGGTTCTATGTCATTAGTAAAGACACTGGGTACTCAAGAGGGTTCAGGAAGTAATCACAGGGGTCTGAAGTCTAGAAAGACTTCATAAAAGAGAGGGAGACTCGAGCTGGCCCTAAAAGTAAGAAAAATAAACAGGGAGAAGGATGGCCTTCTAGGAGGGGAAAAGAAATTCATTAGGGCTGTGGACTTCTCCCTTCTGGAATTATATTAATAAAATATCCTTCTCTAAAACAACTTGGAAGAAATAATCAAACCAAGTTTCCTGGGCATTTTGGGTCCTATGGAAAGAAAACTGGTAACCAATGGTACTAAACGAGATGGCTACTAGAAGTTATTGGCTATAAGGTGCAAGATACAGGAATGACGTTAGAAATTCATTCACAAAAAAAGTTTTATTGCTCCTGACAACCTCTGACAAAGTGGAAAATTACCTAAATGTTAGATATTACTAGATCACATTTCTATGAATATTAAGACTCTCAAAGCCCAGAGATTCTTTTTTTTTTTTTTCAGTATGTGGGCCTCTCACTGTCGTGGCCTCTCCCATTGCAGAGCACAAGCTCCGGACGCGCAGGCTCAGCGGCCATGGCTCACGGGCCCAGCTGCTCCGCGGCATGTGGGATCTTCCCGGACCGGGCCACGAACCCGTGTCCCCTGCATCAGCAAGCGGACTCTCAACCACTGCGCCACCAGGGAAGCCCGCCCAGAGATTCTTAATCCAAAAACGTAACATGGACCCAGAAACTCTCTTTTAGGCACAATGTTGACACACTGAGTAGTTCCCACTGTGCTTGGTTTTTCCACAAAATTAAACTAACCCTCACTGGGTTTTCCAATGGCTTCTTCCCAGAGTTTTCAGAATAAACATTCTGGGCTATTTGGTCTACAGAGGGCAGGTCTATACACTGAAGGAGGAAAGTGGGGGTGATGGAAGGAGTTGAGCTCCTTCAGGTTCCAATCTCCACCAAAGATTTAAAAGCTAAAAGCAAAAGAGAAAATATCAACTTAATAAAAGGAAAATCAAACTGCCAAGATTTATTTAACTTTCTCTTTCACAGAAAATACAAGTATGTAATGTAAACACTGACATGTGAAATAAAGTACAAGGATCAGGAAGACAAATGAATTGAACAATACTCTTGCTTCAACACTGCAGTGCTTCCTGATTTCACTTGCAGCATGAATCTCACGGTTAAATAGATTATATACTGGAAAAATTAAAGGCAACATTCATTTAGATTTATCAAAACACCAGAGAGCCTCTGAAATCCAACAATGCTATATGGAAGTCAGATCTTTCTTTTGCAAAAATATTACAGCTGAGCACATGTCCATTTATCTGTTTACCCAAGGCATTTAATGTAGGAGCCTAAGAATGAATTAATACATGAGCTTAATATGCCTGTGGAGGCAAAGATTAAACTGTGCCTCTTTTCGCTCTTCAGAGAAAATAAAATTAACCAAATTTAAAGCAGAGCTGCCCAACACTGGCCAGAAGACAGCACAATCACAGTGAATTCTTATTTCAATAAATCCTACAAAATGCAAAACACAATAAAGGATTTCCATTTGTGCTTTGCCCAAATGGTCAATCTGGATCTAATGCTGCAGAATTACATGGGGTTTGGAAGGTTCTTTCCCAGAACTCCAAACTAGAAAAAATGACCCAAATAAATGGTTGGGATCAAGAACCACCTTGATTTAAAACAGAGAATCAGTTTCTAAACTTGAATTCAGTAATAAAGAGTGTGGGCTTCACTTTAATGTTATAATCTCAAGAGATTAAAATGAGTGGTCTTTCTTATCAGATGACACCTACCAGTTGACAGGTATACTTTGATAGCAGATGCTACTACACAGGCTGGTTCAGTAATAGGACTCAGTGTTGTGAGATCTGGGGTTCAGACAAGGCTGCTTAAGATCCAGAGATCAGAGAGCCCTGGGACTGCCAATACACCCAACTCCCTCGCTCAGCTCTGCAATCAAAGCTTATTACCAATAAGCTGTAGACCTTCATTCATTCCCAGATAGTCAACAATCTTTGGAGAAAAACGTACCTGAGATACTTTATCCTTACAGTGAGCAAAGCGGTCAGCTCATGCTGAACACTGATTCTCTGGAGGAGAAATGCTACTCTCACCAAGTGTTTTGAAACTCTCTTCCCAGGCAAAGCTAACCTCCCTGTATTGCTGAGGTGGAGATGTTCTGTGGTTTTGTTTTTGTGGTACGCGGGCCTCTCACTGTTGTGGCCTCTCCCGTTGCGGAGCACAGGCTCCGGACGCGCAGGCTCAGCAGCCACAGCCCACTGGCCCAGCCGTTCCGCGGCATGTGGGATCTTCCTGGACCGGGGCACGAACCCATGTCCCCTGCATCAGCAAGCGGACTCTCAACCACTGCGCCACCAGGGAAGCCCAGGTGGAGATGTTTTAACGCGTTTATATATCATGTGAAAAACACCTTCACAACAAAAGACATTCATTTTTATATCCCTTACCTATCGAATTTGGCAGAGTGTTCTGCAATTTACTGTGCTCTCACTAAAGATATTCATAGAACAGAGCAAACTGAAATCAGGTTTTAAAAGGGATAGCAACTGATATTCCCAAGGAATACCTAGATTGATCATGACCTTTTTTGTGCTACATTACAGTAAGTTCTTGCTTAGAAGGCTTTTTTTTTTTTTAACATGCAACATGATAAAATGGATCAGTACTGTACCACTTTGATTAGAAAAAAACCACTCACCATGGACCTCCATTACTGTACCTTCTCATTTACCTTGGCAAAAAAAAGAGCTCTAGCCACTGTGAAGGACAGTGCACTATTACTGCAGGTATGGCAAGATCTTTCACTAGAAATTCTCTATCCCATAGTCAGACCACATGTGCCAATATCTGCCTTGGGAAACAGTAATCAAGTATTGAAAATTAAATACAAAAATCCTTAAAGCAGCAAGTGGGACCCCAGTTTATCTTCACTCTCCCGTTATCATTGTTCATGCTATCTAGACCTACTGACTCACAATTCTTCAACCCCTCCCCAGATATTCCTTTAGAGGGGATCCAAATGAGGACTCTTCATATGGTAACTAGCCATTTCTTCCCTTGTCACTTCTCCTCTCTTGGGATCAGTTCCTACTGAAAATCCCTTCTCTTTGAAAAATGAAAGATGGAAACTCTGAAAAATGAATGCATCCTATTTGCAGATACTAGACACAATCACCCTTAGGGAAATAAGGCACTATAAAGTGACCCCAGATTGACTATAGGAATGGAACTGGTATTGGATCCTGTGTGGCTGCAAAGGTGCTTGACTTCCAAACATGAGCACTACTTTCCTGCCACAGGCCAGGCTGCATCCCGGAGTACCGCTATGATGGTCTAACCAATAGGCAGACTGGAGGCTCCAAAGAACTCACAGAAACACAGATAAAATTCTTCCTTAAAATAGAAAGTTACGTTATCAATTAGGTCTCTGGCCAACCTCATCATTCTTTCAAGTAATGTTCTCATAGTCAAGTGAGGAGTAGGGACGAGCACTGGATGAGAAGTTAGGCAACCCAGGTTCTGGTCCTAGCGCTACTACTTATTGGCTGTGTGGCCTTGGGCAAGTCACCTTACCTCCCCCTGCCCCCTGCCCCCTAGTCTCAGTTTCTTCATCTGTAAAATGGGGATAAAACCACTTGCTTTGTCTACCTCACGTCATGACTGTGAGGATCGAATGAGATAATGTGAAAGTGCTTTGTAAACTATGAAATACTGTGTGTAAAAGCAAAGTAAAGTATATACTTATGTTTTAATTAAGTCCTTATCATTGCCTACTTGACTAGAGGTGCCCCATGCAGGATGTGCTTTGCAATAGACATACTCAAAAACAGGTGCCATGAATATACACTGGTCTTTTTCACTAGGGCTGTTTAAAAAAGGGAGATTCTTAATTTCCTCAGAAATGGCCTCAGAATAAATTACTTTAAAATGTGATGTCATCCAAATCTACCAACTGGTAGAGTTAATTTTCTCCACGTATGTCCTGTACAGTTATAGTCTGGTCTGTTGATACCTTTATACAGGGAAGTCTTGAATTCAAGAAACAGCATGCTAAAGCTTAAAAAACAAACAAACAAAAACCCAAACCCATATAGTTATAGTTTGTTGTAAAGGAAATAAGATGAAAGCAAGAGGCATCCTATGTAATGAAATTAAGCCACAGTTCCTCAACTGGTTGCATTTTTCCTGAGATACCTCCAGGGTAGGGTCCTGGTCCTGTGACGTGCTTTAGAAAAGCTTAGTCTTGCCGGAGGTGAAAAGGACGTGTACGTTGGCAATTAGGCTGTGCTCATTTTCAGCACTAGGATTGGAAGGAGGTCGTCTGCTAGGAGCTGCCAAAGAGCTTTGGTGGAGAAGCTCATACGGCCCAAGGGAGGCTAGTTCTTGGATGCCAAGCCAGAGTGTGTGGAACAGCTCAACACAGCCATCCAGTCCCGGGATTTTCAATTCTTCCTGAAAGTTGGTTCTACTCTTCTCCGGTCTAGTAAATAATTGAACAGAAGAAAAACAATGAGATGTGGAGCAATGTATCTACCCGGACTTTAGGGCCTTTCTCCACCTAGCTGCACAAAGTGTACATGCAGAACAGAGACACACATTAAGAAGTGAATGTGATTGACTCTGACAAGCCCAAAGAGCCCAGATTCCAGTATTCTTGTCAGACGGCTTTTATTACAAACGTTACAAACGATGACTTGGAGGGAGTCCTGTCAGTGGAATTACCAGTTAACAGGATGGTTGTCCTTTGGGGCCACAGGCATGGTGCTAACCTCCACTTTTCTTCCTGATTTGCTTTCCTTTCCGGGGTTTGAGGATGGTGTAGTTTGCATACACTGTATACTGATCTGACAGGAAGGGAACATAGAATGCCCGCAACAACTTTGAAGATCTGAAAAACAAGAGAAAAAAGAAAAGACAGAATTTTATCATTTGAGAGGATTTACTAATGTATTGAAAATGATTAAAGGAAATAAAGTGCTATGGTGAGGATATTTTATACAAGCAGCACAGAAAAGTCTGTTATTTAGCTACTAGATCTTGATGAAAGACTTAAGCAAGACCAAGTACCTTCTTACCTGCACCCAAATGATAGCCTCTCTATTAAGCCACAGGATATCCTTCAGAATAGCTCTAGGTCTGCACTTTGCATTAGAATTTGCCATAGAAAAATTCCAATTCAATCAAAGGACTGCTATTACAGAAATAAATTCTTAATACCTCAAAGGTTTCTGTACCTAAAAAACTGTAGAGATGCCAAAATGCTCAAATGATCCTGACTCTGGCTCTAAGTTTTCCTAGAGAGCTGGAGAAAACTGTGTTCTGGGCTTCCTGTGAGTACCGTTCTGGCAATTCTTAAGTCAAAGAGAGAATCTTTTTACTTTTTGCTAAAATATAGATAAGAACAGCTAAAAACCTGAATTTCTCACAAGTTTCTAAAGAATGTGAAAAATACCTCACATTTATTGAATACCTATTATTGAACAGGCACTGGTGCTTATACTTTTAAGGATATTATTTAATCCATCTGATAACCCTATGAGGAAAGTGATATTATCCCTATTTTATAGATAGGAAAATGAGACTTACATAGATTAAGTAACTTGATCAGGGTTACAAAGTAAGTGATAAAGCCCTCATTCAAATCCAGATTTGATTTCAGGTTCTGCACTCTTACCACTCTGGTTTATCCTGCATCCCAGGAACAGGCTAACAGGATTCATCACTTACTAGAAAAAGCGGCAGTGATAGTTTTAAATTCTATACGAAGTATTACTTCTTGACTATGGTTTCTGAGTCTAAAAACCAAAAGTTGGCCCTGAAACCGCCAACCTAAATAAGGTAGCTGAAGGATGTTCCACTGCCAGTCCTTTTCCAGACTCTCAACTTGTAAATGTCATGTCAACGTGGCATTTGTACTGGCAGCCTACCCCTGAGTTTGGCAGACTCCTGCAATGCCTGCACACAATGATATCGTGCTTGGCATACACACCTCTTAGAGATTCTCCCCAACTGGGATGCTGGCAGTGCTCTGTGCTCTACAGAGATGCACTTCACTTCAACAGCTAACAGCTCAAGGGCTTTGATAGAGAAAAGAGGCTTAGAAGAGAGACACATGAGATAAAGCAGGGCTCCTGCAAACAAAATGAACAGGAGGAGGAAGCACCTACCTCAGTCAAAAAGAAGTTAATTTATTCTTTCTGTCCGTGCTGCACAGATAAGGGGAAGGTCAGAACAGAAAGTTGTAAGCTGGAGCAAACTCTTGCAGGCTTCAGTGTAGAAAAGAAAGGCTAAACCGAATTAAACGTTATTTCCATTCCAGTTGACTCCACACTAAAAGCTTCACTAATACAGTCAGTATATATTTCCGGTCAACTCAGTCCTTGGTATAACATTAGGTCCATTGGGCCCAATTTTACTTTCTTTTTGGAACTATTCCTTACTACTTGGAAGGATTGTTATTTCATAATTTTATTCTTCTTAGAGTCTTCCAAACAACAAAGGGAAATTATACTTACTATCAAAAATAAAGTAAAACTCATTCTATCTTGTAACTACCATATGGGTCCAGCACAAGCTTTTATAAATTTAAGCTATATTACTGAATCTTAGTGGTCTTTTTTTTTTTCCCTACATCTTGGATTATTTACAACTGTGCTTTAAAAAAAAGACAAATGGTAAGAGAAAGGAAGAGTGATGAAATCCCCAAAAAGGATGATGCAAAAGTGATTCAATTATATTATCCTTCAATTTTCTCACTGCACTGTCCAAAGTATGCATCATCTTTCAATAAGGTGCAAAAGACTTGAGACACTATCTTTGTAGTCTGCACTTAGCTTTAATTGAGCACAGCTGAGAGTTCAGAATTTTAAAATTTTCTGTCCCTAATGCCAATGAGAAGAACATTGACAGAGGAAGACATTTCACAATTAGACAAATCAGAAGATGAATGCAAAGAGACAAATTGCAGCACTTAAGACTCTAATGATGATGGTAACATTTATCATAAAGGCAAAATTTCACACTATGAGTCTTTAGATGACCACATACTAGACAAATTTTCTAACTCAAGAAGTGATGAGTGAACAGTATATTTCTAAGAACAAAAAGGAAATAGGTGTTCTCATTCAGTTAGTCATTCAACAGGAAGGACTTTGGAGGGATTCAGAATGAGCCTCCCCAAAGCATACAGCTAGCGTGCAGATTATTTTGAGTTGAAGATAAGGCCCAAGAGACACAGGAAGAACTTTCTACCTCCCCCTTAACTACCTAAAAGAATCTAGGTAGGGAAGCTGGCTCAGAGAGAGAGGTATTACCAGAGATAATTTTTTATCTGAATGACATATCTGTGTGGCAGGGAAAACATCTGCCCTTCTTACTGTCCTGTGAATGACCCTCCTCCCCTCCAAAGCCCCAGGCCTCTATCCTGTTCCTTAGCTCAGGATGGCATATAAGCCTCAAATGCCTGAGGCTTGTCTTTGGGTCTCTTATTTTTATGGGGCTCCTGTACATATGAAATTAAATTGGTTTTTCTCTTGTAAATCTATCTTACGTCAATTTGATTATTAGGCCAAACAAAAGAACCTAGAAGGGTAGAAGGAAAAGTTTTGCTCCCCTACGACTTCATCATGCAATATTTTGCAACAAGAACTTGGACTATCCTGTTACGCTAAAAGGGCATATGACTACATTCTTTTATCTTTTATGGGGTCTGTGTGCCAAATTCTATTTGATACAGTTCATGAGTGGACAAATGTTGAGGGCAGGTTAATATATGAAAGTGACTAGAAGGATACAGATAATAAAGAAATAAAAAATTCAAAGAATTGATCATTTTGATTGATGTTTATAAATCTAAAGATGAAAGTGTTTAAATTATGGAGCAAAGAAGATAGCTGTCTTCAACAAAATTACGAGCCATTTAAGGTTTCAAAAAATTCTTCAAGTTTTGCATTTTGATAATACAAATGCAGGAAGAACCAGAAGTAACAAGCTAGAACCTATTAGAGATGTATCTGAAGTCTGGAACCAGTATTTTCAAGATGTATATATTCCAGGTTCATGAATGACAGTTGATGAGTATTTAGTTGAGTTCAGAGGTGCCCATTTCAGGTATGTATATTCAAAACCAGGAGAATATGGAATAAAGATTGGGATTGCCACATTTATATTATTATTAAAATTTCAAATGAAGATTTTTAAACTGTCCTTTCATTATTCTTATAAGTTATTTTTAAAATAACTAAAATATATGAAAACAAACAGGGTCTATTGGGCCAAGACAGCAAATGGTGATGGTTATTTTTAGGCTGATAGGTCATGCCAAGGAGTTCGTTCTAAAAGATCATTTCAGAAAACTATCTTGGGCTATACATGGGACATAATCATCATCAAAAATACTGACCTCCCTAAAATGGAAGAAGGGCCACTATGCTTTACTGCTGAGTGCAAAAGGCAAGCTGAAACAAAGGTAAAAAAATAGAAGGGATTGGGACAAAATATTTACCATACATTAACAGAGGAAGAGTACCTAGAATATATAAAGTATTCCTGCATTCACTAAGACAAACAACTCAAAAGGAAAAAATGACAAAGGACATAAACAGAGAAAAGAAATGTAAATGGCCAATAACCATATGAAATAATGTCCAATTTTACTAGTAACTGGGGAAATGTAAATCTAGATACAATTTTTCAATAATCAGGTTTGCAAAAGTTGAAAAGTCTGACAGTATCAAACACTGGCGAGAAATTAGGAAATTGATATTGCCAGTAAAAGTGGAAACCTGCAAGAGCCGTTTGGAAAGGCAATTTTAACAATACCAATTAAAACAAAAATTATGCAGTCCCTATGACATAGCAGATGATTTTTATTTTGTACTTTGCACCATACTACTTTTTATTAACAACCTCCTTTGTTTTCCATTTGTTACATAGAAAATTTCAAATATATACAAAAGTACGTGAAATATGTTACTTGTAATAATTTTTAAAAACCAGTAGACAAAGTTTTAAATAAAGGAAACCTCAAATCCTTAAAATGAACAAACAAAAAAAACCCCTATGTGCTTACTGTGTGTAGAGCTTTGTGTGCTAGCCCTGAAGCCTCTGTTCTCAAAGAGCTAATAATCTATCGTTGGAAGAAACAGAATATGAACGATGTAACCATAATGTAGCATACACTAAATATTAAATAGCTGATACAGAAGTTCAAAGTGATAATACACATATTCAGAAGACAGAACAAACACTGAGGGTTGCATAGGTGTGGAAGAAGCATTTACTATACATTATTCCATTTTGTCCATCCAACATTCCAAGGTACACTAGGCAAAAAAAAGCAACTTGCCCATCCATAACCAAATCTATAGGCAACTCAGGTTAAATGCTCTGTCCACTCAGCAACAACTGGAGAATGGCTTGAATAAAATCCAAACTCTAATGATCTACAAAGCCGTAGGAGATCTAGCCCTCACTTACCTGTCTCACCTCACCTTGTGCCATTTTCTTCCTTGCCCACTACACTCTCACCACACCAGCCTCCTTTCAAGTTCCTCAAAATTACAAGTTCTTTCCTACTCTCAATGAGGATTTCAAAGTCCCACTGAATGTGTGGTTTGCAATAACCATCTTGCTAAGGACAAGCATGTGTTTGTCCCAAGAGACCCAAGAAGCACTGGGATTCTCCCATGCTTCCTCAGTGTACAAGCATAAGAAATTTGGCATCAAATTCTAGATAATGTGTTCAGGAAGCAAGGAGGCATTTCTAATTAAGCCTGAACACAAAACTATATAAGAAGTGGGAACTAAATGTAAGGAGAAGTTAAGTAAAATTTATCATCAGTGCTTCGTACTGGAAAAATCCTTACTAGAAGATGAACCTTCTTTTCT